GCTCCTCATTCCCGCCTGCTCCTCATTCCCGCCGCTCCTCATTCCCGCCTGCTCCTCATTCCCGCCTGCTCCTCATTCCCGCCGCTCCTTCCCGCCTGCTCCTCATTCCCGCCGCTCCTTCCCGCTCCTCCTTCCCGCCATGTTCGTCTCCGACTGCCGCCGGGAGTTCTACGATGTGATTGTCACCCAGGTGCGGTGATGGGCCGTGACCGGGGCTGGGGGGTTCCCCTCAGGGCTCTCCTCCCTCTCAGGGCTCCCTCTCCCCCCTCCCTCAGAGCTCACTCTCTCAGGGGTCCCTGTATTAATATATTTATTTTGTTATTTTTGCAGCGTGTTCTTCTTCTTGTTGCTTCAGATGTTGATGCATTATGTGCCTGTAAAATACTCCAAGTAAGTCTTGGTTCATTATCACTGCAATAAAAGAAAATATACCCTGGGGTCCTTTTAATGGTTTGAACCAGGGAAAGGGTAAAGGTTTAATCTGCTTTTGTAACTTACTTTTTCCATGAGTTATGACATGGGAAACTGGTGAGTCATGCTCTGGGTTTGTGTAGGTTTGCCATTTGGGATGTCTTGACTAGAAAGGTTTGTAGGGAATAGAGTTTGGCATTGTAGGAGGAGCTGCTTCCCTCCCGTGCACTGACAGCTGTTTGCTTCCCTGCAGGCCCTGTTCCAGTGTGACCATGTGCAGTACACCCTCGTCCCAGTGTCTGGGTGGCAGGAGCTTGAAACTGCCTTTCTGGAGCACAAAGATCAGGTGAAATTTTAAGCTGCAGCTCAGCTTTCAAAGAGAGGCACTTCTTCCATTTAAAATGTCAGCTTTTGATCTACTTGTTATTAATGGTTACCTCAGCACTGTGGTTACATTTTATCATACCCGTAACAACCTTGTGAAGTTCATATCAGGTCAAACTAATGTGCTATAATTTTAATAGAGTCAAATTAGGTTTGCATACCTTTGGAGATATAAAGAGTGGTGGTATTGGATGTCCCCAGATTTGGTGTTTTGTCTTAAAAAAAATTTCTGCTACAAAAACATCAAATATCAGAAAGCAAATACAAGTTTTGGTGATGATGAGTGTTTTGAAGGTTTTGTAAAGGTATTTTCAGTCTTCCATGTCCCCTGTTAATTTAAGTAACAAGCTTTTTTTTTTTTCTTCTCCTTTTTTTTGCAGTTCAAATACTTTTTTCTTATTAATTGTGGTGCCAATGTTGACCTCCTGGAAATCCTGCAGCCTGAAGAAGACACCTTTTTTTTTGTGTGTGACAGCCACAGACCTATCAATGTAGTGAATGTTTACAATGACACACAGGTAAAGGCTTTTCTTTCATGATAAAAACCCCCCACAGTGTGGTGGTGAGTGATGTAGAGCTTCTCTGTGCTTTGCAAAACTGCTTCCAGCATTAGGTAGTAGGTCAGGAAGCAGCATTAATGAATATTTGCAGTAGTAATGTACATGATCAGAAAAAGAAATCTATTTTCTGTAGTAAAATCTATACTGTCAGCAGTGTGAGATTTGTCAGTAGTAAACACATATTAATCTTGGTGCTATAAATCAAGCTGCCATAAATCAGGGGATAAACATCCTCCAGACTGTAATATGTATTATCTCTCAGCATCTAGCAACACCTAGACTTCCAAGTATTAAACACAAATTATTTGATTTTAACGATCAAAAAAAAAGTAAAAATAATTAATCCAGTAATGCTGTAAAAAAGGAATATGGGGTTTTTTTACCCTTATTTTGTATAAATCAGTATGGTCTTTGTATTAAAAACCAATGTTTTTTATACACCTGGAATTGAATTTTTGGTTTCTCTTACTAAGAATACTGAAGTATTCTCATTTGTCATTTAAGATGTTTTACTCCCTAAATACATTTTTCTTTTGCTAGATTAAGCTGTTAGTGAAGCAAGATGATGATCTCGATGTTCCTGCTTATGATGATATCTTCAGAGATGAAGAGGAGGAGGAAGAGGATTCAGAGAACGAAAGTGAGGGGTCAGAACCTTCAGACAAACGCAGACGTTTTGAAGAGGTGTGTTTCTGCTACTTTGTTGTGAAAATAAGGAAAACAAAACTGTTAAAATGTACATTTTGCATCATAATAATTGTATTTGAGTTTAAATATTGTGTTCCACTAGATCACAAATTCAAGTGCATCACCTAAAAATAATCAGGTAGAGTTTCATATATAAGGAATGTTTATTTATCTGAACTGCACAGAAATATTTTCTCCTAATAAAAAAGATGTTTTGAACTTGATTATGTTTAATGACTTCTTAAAACTGTGTTCCTTGGAAAAATATTTGATATTTAATACTTTTCTCATGAGATGTTGTTCATAGCGATATTCTTTTTCTACTAATTCTTAAAAAAAGTTCTTTATAATGAATACCATAATTACATTTTTAAATTAAGATTTAATCATTAAAGTGTCTAGATACTAATGTAGTTTTTAACATGCAAATTAATTCACAGGATGTAATAGAGAGGACGATGAAAAGGCGACAAAGGCGAGAGTGGGAAGCACGCAGGTGTGTTGGCTGGGTTTGTGTCAGGTGTGTTGGCTGGGTTTGT